CCGTGGGTGAGGCTGCGCTGGCGGCACTGTCGCTGAGTGGTGCTGGCACAGCCTCACGGCTTCCCCTGCTGCCATCGTACACTGTCAACCTCAGCCACAAAAGCGGGGGGGAGGGAGAAAGGGGTGGGGGCGGCCACCGAGGTGGCCACGGCCAGCGGCCGGCTGGGCACCCGTCGGATGGCAGGAGGCGCAGAGTGACGGCCTCATCGCGGCCTGCGTTTGCCTCCCTCCTTTGCCCATGAAACCGGCGTTACCGCGACCCACGGATTTTCTCACTTTTGTCCTTCCCAATCTCTCCCCCATCCCCCTGGGAGCAAGGGGGTGAGCGAGCGGCTGGGTGGGCGCTTGCCTTCTGCTGGGGCCAACCCGCTGCCGTCCCTTGTGGCACGCAGTGTGGGGCTTTAGATAGCAACAGATTCGGTCAGGGTGTGCTAGTCTGGATTTATAGCTGTTACAGCTATTTAGCAGTTACTTGCTGTTGCTGGTCCCAGTGCTGAATTATTTGCTCCCCTTCTTGCTGCACATTAAATTCCAGGGCTTCGTAATGGCTGCTGTCAGTTTTTGGTGTTTGCTGTGCTGCTTATCACTGTGTTTTGCTTTGCCTGGGAGACCTATGATAAAAGCACTGGCCTTCAGCCAAGTCTGGCATTTGGTCCCTGCATTGCTACCGTCCCACTACTCCGGGAACCATCTTGTGGAGACCTTCCTCCTCTTCTTCCCCAGGGTAGATATTTCCAACCTTGTTGCAATGGCAAGATCAGCATCATCACATCCCCATGGATGTGATCAGTAAGATAACAGTCAAGTCTCCACCAGCTTACAAAAAAGAAATGCAACTTTCCTAGGCATAGTGGGTTTCTGGAGACTGCACAGTCTGGGTCACAGTCAGCTTGTGAGTCCTCTCTATCGAGTGACCTGAAAGAACTTTTTCAAGTGTATTGGGTTTGCGTGGCAAGGTTTTGGTAGCTGGGGGGCTACAGGGGTGGCTTCTGTGAGAAGCTGCCAGAAGCTTCCCCCGTGTCTGATAGAGTCAT